CACTGCACTCGTGCTCATTACTAAGTTTGTTTAAATGCAATCACTCGACTAATCCAGCTACTTTTAGGCTGGTTTCACCATAGTTGCTGGGTACAGCCATGTGCAAGGCTATCATTTTGTCTCAGCTGCATCGGCAGATCACTGACACCGTGTTCAAAGAACCCTCAATTAACTTAATTCTGATCCCCACAAAGCTGAAGGACAAACAAACCTTCTGCATTGTAATGCTGTGTGCAGCAGTAAATTCCAAAGCTGCTGCAGAAACCTACAGCAGTTAGTTGTCAAGTTTCATTCTTACAGTTGCAGACTGGTATTTTTGTTTTGATAATTCTTTATCACACATTTCATGAAATCAAGTGTGTATGTGCACCGAAGAAGTACAGGCTGTTATCCAGATGTATACAGAAGGCCCCACACTCTTTGCACTGCAGCTTGCAGAAAAATGTAGTGTGTTATCAGTTAAACATCTCAGCCCTTGAAATGCAGCAATACCCCGCTACTTTGAGAACTAACTGACCTCTAGATTTGCATCTGCTTGTTATGGCGGCTCTCCCAAGAGGCATGACTTACCCCAAAGCTAAGACTTCTAGGAAAACACGTGAAATGCCATCAACCTTCCAAGCGAACAGTGCAGAACCCGTGGCAGTCTGATGTCATGAACAAAATTATAGATGACTGTGGACAAGGTAGGATTTTTTTGAGTCCCTACAGGTCTGTAGTCAAACTGGGAACTGTTCAGTGAGTTTAAACCTCATCTCAGTCTGTGTTTGTTAAAACACAGAGAGGGCACGTGGATGTGACAGAGCTCCTGGCAGAAGTGGGGAGTCACGAACAGCATATCCGAGATGAACAGAACTGCACAGACACTAAGAACTAAGAGCAGACAGTGCAAAGAAAGGAGACAGCATGGCCATGACCGTACCAACCACAAGGCAACTTGGAGAAAGACAGCCATGGGTAGGATGTGCCTCATCCTTCCTTCCAGGATCTGAGTGTTGAAATAACTTCTCACAAGGCTGAGGAGAGGCTCATTTCTCAGCGCGCCCGGTACTGCTGCTGCCGTGTCAGCAGGGCACTTCCTTAAACTTGTCCAAGCTTCCAATAAATCTTCTTGGAGCTCAGTTTCCACTTGTATCTCCACAGAATGGTCTCACCGTCTCTCTGGGGTTGTCTGTTATCTTTTTTTTTAGGATTTCCACTTTTGCAGCATTCAAAGGCAGGAAAATAGGAACTACTTTATGAAGTGCTTCACAAAAACGTGTGACAAGCTCTTCCTTCTATTATTTCTGTGACTCTTTCGTCAGCTGAGAACAACTGCTATTGCCTTTTAGGTCCACAAACACCCTCTGAGAAGAACACTGACAATTCCCGAGTCCTGCCCTTGGGTCAGACAGGGGTTGTAACGCTTCAAAACACAAGGAAGAGCAGTGTTTGAATTGTACAGGAACATGCAGAATGCTCATGCACAACATAGATGAAGTTCTGTCTTCAAAGTTCTTCCGACTGCCAGAGGATTTAAGCTACAAGATTCCCTTGCTCGTGACTTCCCCAGCGTCACAGAAGTCAGAGACATAACTGATAACTGAGCCAAGTCTCAGAGGTGGAACCCAGTCTCGCCTTAACTGTTTTTCCTCTAAATTTACTCCAAAATGTGATAGTTAAGCAAGCTCTTATACACAATGCAATACATAGACTGGCCAAATAATTTAAGAACTGGAGGCCACTCATTCATAATCCATGCTTACTATGGTGCTGGCACTCCTTACATCACAAAATCCAGCTAACTCCATAGAGTAAACAATGACCAAATAAAAGAAACAAGTGCATATTTCTTATGTTCATCACCAGCTTTTTTGATTTTTTTTTCATCTCAGGCAGGTTTGGAAAACAGATGAGCATCTCAGAAGACAGCTTGCTTTTAGTGAGAATTAGACAGGACCTGGCAGCAGTGACTTCTAAGTTTGAAAAGCTTATACAAAGCAGTTCCAACCTAGTAATCAAGCAAAGACTTGAATCAATAACCTCAGACTGGAAATCTGTATGTGATTCTGCTGGAGGGACACAGGCAACTTCATTCAATAAATCAACACATACTTCACTGCTTTAGACTGAGTCTTTAAACTTCACCCAGAAGCTATAAAATAGCCAGTGCATTGAATAAAGAGGTAAAGCACTTGCTGCCCAATGCCTTACTTAAAAACAAACAAACAAACAAACAAACAAACAAAAAAAACTTTTTCAGAGGTTCTTGGAGAGATGTGAGGACTATGCCCCACACTGAAGCCTTCGATCAGATAAAAACTTAGATAAAAGCAAGAGCCACTTTAGAAAAATGGCAATGACCCTCTGTTACTAGAGGTGTAAACAGTAACTGCTATGTGATGAGATTACAACAGCTGAAAACCTATCAAGATCCCTAATTCTGATTTACAGTACTGCAGCAAGGCAGAATGAAGGGCCATCAATCACACCTTGACCACATACGAGCTGCCTGAAATATCCCATTTCAGCTGAACACAGTTAATCCCTTAGCTACTGCAACAAACTGTAAAGAACAAATTGAAAACAGTTCACAGCTTTGGGAACAGGCTGAACGTTTACCACCAACTAGTTACCTAGGTGCATAAACTGGCAGTCCTTATCTCTTACCACTGATGTCAGCCTTTCTTCCTCACGTGGATATTCTCAGGATGACATACTGATGATTGTAAGGCCTATACTGACAGAGGAACGTAACATAAACAGCAAACATCCAGGCTGGAGACCAGCTGGGAGATTTCTCATGGCCAATTAAGCATGGCACACTAGAATGTAATTTACCTCCAACAGAAACAGTTTTGTTTTCTTCTCTTTACATGGGCCAAAATTTGAGTTAAAGAGAAATTCTTTCACTGATAGGGGAAAAAGCCTTCAGAAAAGCACCAAACGCGACATTCCAAATCTTTTTTTGTCGAAGTTAAGTCAGTTTAAGAAACGTGATAGATTCAACCAGTTATGCATTATTACTGCACTACATGGAGCAAAGGTCAAAGTATTAATTTTTCAGTTCATGTTGTTCTATGTACTGCTACTAGAAACATTAGCAATGTTATGCCATAACTATCACTGAATACCCAAGAGAACAAGCCAGATTCTGAAGAAAAAACTCTCTAAACCACATAAACAATTGTAATTCATCAGCATTAAGATGATAGTTGACAATTCCTCTTCTCTTCAGTCTTACAGACTTTCGCTGTATGATTCGGAACAGATTGCCTGCAAAGCTGTTGCATATTCAATAACATCCTGCAACACTGTCCTTAGGGGTGCACCTCGATGAATGCTGCAATGGCACTAGGAGACAGGAGCTCGGCATGTCCCATACTACATAAAGTTGTGATCTGAACAGCCTACAGTCCAAAAATTGACGCAGGAGGCAGATAAGTAGTCTCAGCCCCATCAACGATCAACACCGTCTTTAATATGTGCATATTTTTAAGATACCTGTCCTATTTGAATTTATTTCTAGCAACATTAACACAAGAAACTGGAAATCCAACATTCCTGAATTATGTATTTCTGTAATTCCAAAATTCACATCCAGACTTTTTGGGTGGCTCAAGCTATGGAAAGGGATAGAAAAGTAGTATGAGGCTAAATTATAGGATTTCATTTTTGCTGAACACTCTTCTCCTAAAACTTCTATTTTTATTAAATATGAACAAACAAAACCCAACATATAGGTTCAGCAGTCCTGAGGATGACTCCCTCTAAAATTTACTGCTATGGATGTGCAATGAAAGGGAAGCTTTACCAGAACAACCAAATACACTTGTCTTAAGACGAAGATGATCAATTCCACTACTAACCACAAAGTATATCAAAATAGGTTGGTATTAGATTTTTAGGAGAGGACATGCTTTCTCCGGCTCCATTAGCTCACTGTGAGTTGGAAACGAGCAGCTTTTGGTCCTGGCTGATGGCACTTCTGACCTAGTGGGGCTCTTCCAGCACCACCACGGCTGGATGGCGCAGCAGGTGAAGAGAAGCAGGGTGACCGGCTATGAAGGACAAAATCAATGCCAACCCAGAAGGCGACAACTTACAAAGCCATCTCTGTTCGCTGTTGAGTTGAACTGAGTGGGAGAGGTCCCCACACCTCCATCCAGCACTTCCCCGCAGTTTGGATCAGGGCTGCTCCTCAGGGATGGGTGGTCGAAGACAGAAGCACCTTTGGGTCAAGGCACCTGCCACCGAAACCAAGCACCTTCCCCACCACCCACCCACCCCAGAAACCACTTCCAGCCGCCGTACCCAAGCCCTTTACCCCTCTGCACCCCAGCCGCCATCCCCCGAGCTCACAGCCCCCAGACCCTTCCTCCAGCCCCCACCTCGCCCCCCACCACCACCAGCACCCGGCCGGCCGGGGAGCGGAGGGGAGGCAAACAGCATCTACCTTATTGAGGTGGGGGTTCCTGGTGATGTCGTAGCCTCGCTTTTTGACAGCCAGGGCCTTGCCGCGGGTATAGGGGCTTCCCCCAGCCTGGCTGCCGCTGCCCCGGGCGGCGCTGAGGAGAAGCAGCCTCCGGGCGGCCCCCGCCATCCGCAGCAGGCGGGCTCCGGCCCCGCCGCCGCACAGCGGCACCATGGCGACCTGCGGCACGGGGACAGCGGGGACCCGGCGGAGCCCGGGGCGGGCAGGGCGAGGCTACGGGGCGGGCACCGCCTCCCGACCCAGCCCGGCCCGGCCCAGGTGCGAAGCGAAAGGAAACCCAGGAAGGAGATGTCGGCTCGACCCCGCGGCGGTCGCCTCCTCCCCCGGCTACCTGGGAAGGCTCGGCCGCCGCCGGCGGGAGGAGGAACGGGGGGTGCCCGCCTGGGCCCCGCCTCTGCCGGGGAGAGCGGGGCTGCCCGCCCCTCGGCTGCATGAGGAGCGGGGCTGGCTCGGCCCCGCTTCGCTTTTCCTCTAATTAGGGGTCTGAGGGAGCCCCCAGCCCCTCACGGCTCTGGTCCCAAAGCTGGGAGCGCCTTCGTGCCCTTGGGCTGCGAGGGGTTGAGGCCCAGCCTGGGTCCCAACCAAATCCACCCCACAACCCGTGGAAAGACATGACCATTCGTTGCTAAGGATAAAGTACTTAATCTCCCAGTAAATTAATTTTTCTAAAATTACTCTCAGGTACCACAACTGGAGGTACTGCCTGTCGTGGAGCTGGGGGCATCTGCTGCAGCAAGAAGTCTGGAGCCGTGAAGACCTTGTCGGAGAGGGTCACGGATTGCTTGCCCTTGCCAAACTAAACAAGGATATCTCTCCCTCTGGATTTGTATTTTCTCCATTAAACTTAACAAAGTGAATAATAAGAAAGAAACTAGACCCATAATGTGAAGAGCACAAAGGCACTGCGACCTTGTTCGCTTTTAGCATTCATCTTGTTTCTGGAGTTGAGATACCCAAGCCTGTTTGAGGCACAAGAACCTCTTTTCGGTTTGGGGTGTGTTACAGGCACTTTTGAAACCCTCAGACATCATTGTACTGGCAGAGGCATCAAAAATATATGAAAAAGTGAAACTTACTTTCTAAAAACAAATCTTTTTATCTAACTGAAGCCCAAGTGAGGCAGAGCGACTTTCTGATTTTACCTATGATTACATACACCCATAGCAACAGGGCCTGCAGACTTAAAATCTTTTTACAGTTATCCTTTCCCAGCATCCCAGGGATGTACCCAGATGCTGCTAGAACTTTTCAGCAGACAGGGAGTTTGCTGCAAGGGCCCTGACAAGGTAGGTGCTGCAGAACCTTGTTTTCATGCTGTGGTCCCTGGGCAATGTGCAGGATTGTCTGCATGGTGTGGACAGAGCGTATAGCTTCTTAGAGGAGTTGCTCTTAGTCACTATAAGTAATTAATAAGGACTTTTATGTTTTGCCTCTTCCTGAAGTGTGAGCATGGGTAGTTAAGCATTTCAATCTGCTTGTTGTCTATATAGTCTCTCTATATACACTATACTGTATTTATGTTTTGTATATATGTATCCAGTATACATTATGTATCTTATATATTTTATATATACATTTATATAACACAGGAAGCTATAAATACTAAATACTATAGAGGAAGCATAAAATACTAAATATGAATGTTATCTAGAGAAAACAACTTTTTTTTTTCTTACAATAATGGTGTTTTATTGAGGAAAGTGTTAGCACAGAATGTTTTCATTCCCTCAGAGGTGTTCCAGTTTTTCAGAGAAGCTAAAATCCAAATTAATTGATTTTGATAAAAAAAATCAAGTATAAGAAAGTAATTTACTCGGAACAGATTTGATAAGAATCTTTTACTGTGTGAATTGACTTTTATTTTACTACATCTAATGCGTTTAAAAAAAAAAAAAAGCTCCCAAGTTTCATCTGAAATAAATTAGAATGTTTAGATCAACCCAAACAAAAACAACTTTTACTGGGTCTTTGCAGAATTGAATGCTGAAATTTATCTGTAGCAAATAGTGAAGATATAACACCTCCCTGTTTGGGAAGAGTGCAGAACATTGATGGCTTCTTTATCTACAGACCATATTGCCTGCAGTTTCCCAATCCTTAAAAATAAAAATCATATTAAAGACAAGATGTGAAAGCACAAACATCACCACAGTACCACAGAAAGCAGACAGCAATATTGAAAAATAAATTTATGGTCCATGCTTGCTTGATAAAAAACAGGGAGGCTGTCGGAGAAGAAAACAAAACATTGGAAGGTTTTTCCCACGCCATGGGACTGCTGGCTAGTCTGATAGCTTTGGTCTGTTCCAGGATGGTGTAGGGAATTGTCATTTCCTGAATTTGTATCTCAGTGAGGGAAGGTAACTGTGACACCTCATCAGGTTGGGCTCTAATTTTCTGATCACCACAGGAATTTTATTCTGTTTCTTGGTGTTCCTTAATGTGCCTTCTCAGAACTAGTGAATCTCAGCTTCTTTTTGTATGAACATGGGCAGAACACCTTTTCTGCTAAAAATGCCCATAAGATAGCACACAGTGAGCTAAATGAATGAACTGATTATGACTGAAAGGATTTCACATCGTTTTCCCAGAAATAAATCATTTTTTCCTGCCTAATGCTGTTCCAAAATACATTAAGATAAAGAGGCTTCATAGTTTGTTTGGAAGGTTGTCAGACAACATCTTCCCAAAGCAGCAATCTGAAATTAAGAAACCTCCCCAAGAAGTTTGTTCATCGTCTGGCTGGGGGCTCATTTTATCCTTGGGATGCAGCTGCCACGTCAATCTGGACTTTGTACATCTCTCTTCTTCCCATCAGTGCTGGATCAACAGTCATGTCAAAACTATAAAGCTGTGTGTGAACTGTCAGAAGAGAAGCCTGGTTTCTTTTCTGGATCCTGGATTGGCAGAATTATTGTCTTGACTTGAAGAGTGCCTGGAGATACCTCAGGGGCCTTGCACAGTACCTCCTCAGTAAAAGCTTATGGTCTATTGTGCAAGAGGGACAAATGTGGGCAGGAGAATGGAGACATCACTTGTCCTGGGCTACACGGTAGGTCAAATGGCAAAGGTGGGAATTCCCACACTCCCCTTCCACAACCAGCTATAAAAAAATCATGAGATGGGATGTGAGGAAAGGGCTGTAGCTTAGTATCTCAATTCTAAATGGGCTACAGAAATGGCTTCATGTAGGGTCTCCCACTGTTGACCATGGAGGATATAGGACAGGGTTTTTAGAAAGGTTATTTTTAATCAAGCTCACAGAATTTTGTGTGTATTTAGCCATGTACACATACATACACTGCCACACAAGAAAAAATGATGTACATACGCATGTATGTGCGTTTATCTGGTGCTGCTGTGTAGACTCTCACATACATTTTTATTTTCTTCATTTTAAAATTCTGGCTTCTCTGCCTCTTGGAGTATTATGTATTTCTAAAGGTAAAAATAAGATTTTCTCTGCAGCCATTAATTGTCTCCCTACTGCTGTACAAACACTGAGCATTGCCTTGCCAAGGGGTTTCTCATTTTTACCTCCTATTGGTTGACAGTAGCCTTCAAACGTTTTTTTGCATCTCGGTGAGAAACAATTACAAATGCTGGGTTTCCAAAATTTGCCTGGCACTGCAAAATAAAGAATCTGATTGCGATTCTTTATATCCACAGATGCAAAGTGCTTACTGTCAGATGCACATGAATGCACTTTGTATAACATGCAAGCCTTTCATGAATGCAAATTTGATCGAAGCAAAGGTTAAATTCTTGATTAAAAAAAAAATGAAAAGAAAGAAAGAATGTTACAAAAAAGCTATAAAAGCAATGAAATGCACACTTATATTCCAGATTGAACTCTTAGGATTTTATTTAAGCTATTTTTCAGCAGCAGGAAGGAAACAATGGTTTGTAGAATGGGATTCTATATACACTTGGGGATTTGCCGGTTGTTGCAGAATGCACTTGAAGTTTCAAAGCATGTTATAAGAGCTAATTTATTCCTCCAGTAATTTACGAAACCTCTTTGTGCTGTGGCCTTGCATTTAGCAGTTTGGCATCTAAGAGAACACCAATGAAATAAACTTGAAATGAATCCCTGCCATATAAAGAGGGACCTTATAGTGTCTATTTATAGTGTCTATTCTCCTGCAGCATTATCTTTCCTCTCAGGAAATGAATTGACCTGCAATTATAAACTTCCATTGTAGTGTTTTTCAAATCACATACCTTGAGAATTCTGGGCATTGTGCAGCTGTGTTGTCTCCTGGTTTATTAAATTTTGCAGATATGCTACCCATTCATGCCAACTGTTCATTTAAATTCATCAAAACACAAGAAAGCTTACTGCAAGAGAGGACATGCATTTGATTGGGACCCTTCTGTACAACAAACAGAGACAAGAAGAACTGAAAGTGCAATGGAAGAATCTGGAGTCAGACGAACCACAGTTATGGTGAGTTCCCCATATGTAAGGCAACATCATCTCCATGTGCTATAGCATTTGGCCTGTTCTTCTTTTTCACACTGCTAAATAGAATGTATATCTATACATAGAGAGAGTATCTGTAGTGTAATGCTTATATAGTAAAATACATGTGCTTTAACCCAGTTAGAAGTTATGGGCTCAGTTTATATGGCATACACAGGGTCTGACTGTGTCAGACCATGGGGCTTGAAGTCACCACATCATGCAAGCCTTTCCCATCTACAAGCAATTTTATACTTGATGCTTAATCCACAAGGATTCACAAGTCTGCTCCATGTGCAGCAGCCCCATAACCCTCCTGCTCACCTCTAGCAAATACAAGATACCAGGTTACTAACAAAAAGCCACAGACGATCCCATGATACCATAAAGTAGCAGGTCCCTGCAATGGGATAACAATCCTCTCTCGTCTTAAAAATCTCTGTTACTGCAGCTTGTCCAATGCATCAAATTTCAGTCTTTTTTTTTTTTTTTTTGAATATGAACATGGTGAACGCCCTTGTGCTAACTCGATATTGTTTCATGGACACTACAGATAGATGGACACGCAGAGGGTTCTTGTTCATGGCCATTTACTCAGACAGTGATGGAGCTGGGAAGTGGATCCATATGTCTTGGCTGCCAGTCTTGCGTTCACTTGGTCATCTATCACTGGTCTCCTTTTGTCGTAGTTTATTTCCCTGACATATGCTTCTCATGATATTATTCTTCAGCAATGAGAGACTTCTGTAACATCAAGACAAAAACCATCTGTAGTTGTGCAATTAAAGCCTTAATCAGACCTTTGGACATCTTTCCTGGCTGTGGCTAGTTTTAAATGATAATGATGATGGTTTACGCTTATACCTCTTAAAATGAAAAATGAGCATGAAATGAAATAACACATTTCAGTCAATAAATTCTGTCCTGTCTAATATAAATGCTGGGTTGTTTTTTTTTCCCTTTTCCTGCCATCTTATTACTGATGTCCTAAGCATTCCATTAACTCTATAGTGTACATGCATGGTCCTCAATATCTAAATACTTGAAGAGAAATGAACAGCACAGCAAAGAAAACACACTATTTGGCATCTTGATTTCTATTAAACAGAATCAATTTATGGTGAAACATAAGCATATAAATATTTTGATTTGTTTCAAAAGTAAACTGTTGTTTATAGGCATAGGTTTGGAGCTTTCTCCCGTGAAGGTTTCACAATTAGCTTCAATGGAAGAATAGAATTCAGTTGCATTGAATACTGCTACAGTCCAGCTATAAATTTCAGTCATTTTTAATGCAAAAAATGTTCTCAACACAGTACAAGAGTACATTCTTACTTTTACCATGATGGTACTGCTTTTGATAGTAGGTGCATAGTCTTTTTCTTTAGAAGTCAGTCTGTCATCTGAAGAAGCCCAACTGACCTTCCAGGTAGTAATGTGCCACAAGTCTGATCTCAACCCTTATTTTTGCAAGAAAACTCCGTGCCATTGAAAGATTGCATTAACAATATGGATTCATTAAAAAGATGCTGAGTGAGACTTTGCAGCCCGCAGAAATGATGAGATGTCCTGATAACACCTTGTGATATAAAAGAAGTCAAGAAGGCGATCAAAGACTCAGGCACATGAACAAAAGCTGTTATACAAGTTACTGAGGGGTAAAATTACTATGCCAGCTGATTCACCCATGCACATCCTCACTCGCTGCTGCTGTGAAGACAGTTTGAGGCAGCTTAATTACAAGTGAAAAAATATGCTACAGCAATCCTAATTACCTAGAGCCTGACTGAGGCGAGCATACAGACCCTTGGGTTAACCCACTTCTGAACACCTCACATCTGCCATGGCATGGGAACATGTCACGTACAGCTGATGTGCAGCAAGTTCATAATAACAAGAGTTTTAACCTACCCCTCTGACTTTAAGCCAGTAAAATATTTACCACCATAACAGCATTTGCAAAAGAGTTTGGCAAAGAAGGGTTCAGCAATGAGTGACTTGCCACAGATGTAAGCATAATGTGTTCCTGAGCAGTCTTTTTTGATTGTGCAGGACTTCAATTAGCACTTGACTTTATCACTTGAATTATTTTAGGTCATGTACTGACATTTTTGCATCTTTTCGGGCAGCACAAGTCTATATGATGAAGGGACAAAACAGGGTGACAAGTTTTTAATGAAGGATGATAATTTATACTTCATAAACGTATTCACTGCCTTCTTAGCCAAAGTAATTTTTACAGTTTTACTTATAAGTGTGAAAAGGTGAGTTTTAAAGATTGCTATTTTTTAATACTGCATAGTGAGATTAAAAAAATTTAGGTTCTATATAAATGAACATTATAAAAATACCTGCAAAGCCAAGTAAACCTGTGTTCCACAAAAGAGAAAACACCCTAAAGAAAGTTACATGCCTGTGCACAGAGCATATCTTCACCCTTCTCTCCATGAGCGGGCAGTTGTCATCCCCTCAGTTTTGAATCTCATTCCTAGAAGACAAGCTGTATTAATGTCAGGTGGAACGTTTTCCAAGTGCTATATTTATGTATGACTCTATACTCACCCTGGTCCCAGCAAGTGTCTTTCTTAACAGACGAGCCTCCAATGTGAGCTGTAGTAAGAGTAAGGAATGGAAAATTCATCTGTTTGAGATTTCTCAGGCTCTCAGTAACCGGTGGCTGTATGGCACAAGGCGCTTTTAGAAATTCACTCTAACTCAACTGGCTACAGTATAATTACATTAGCTCTGCAATTATCAATCAGTAGCTATAAAGGGAATTGCAACCACCACCTCCTAGTAAAATTATCTGTATCGGAAAGTATGCTTTCTGTAAGCTCTGTGGCAAGGGGAAAGTGACTGCACTGACTTCCTGACAGATAACCAGGTCACAGAGGGCACCAACCTCTTCCTGCACTTCTGTGCATCCCGTTCCATGCTACAGACTTCTCTTAGAGCTGTATTGGCAAGGTTCAGGGCTGATAAGGAGAGCAAACAAATTGAGAGTGAGAAGTGGCTTGAAAGGTCAGCGGCAGTGCCGATAAGCACAGCTGGAGCTGGCCACTGGCACGCTGCTGCACCTGGAGCAGCACTTCCAGTCTGCGCTGTCTTCCTGCCACTTGACAAAGCTGTGCATAATGTCCTCATACATGTTTTGCAGTGTCCTGTGCAGTGATAAAAGTAAAAAGCATCAGCTTTCATAAATCATGGACCATAAAAGCATGCTATGTATATAGCTAAAGCAGAAAATGTTGCTGGTTTTCTCATTAAACACCTTTTTTTTGGCAACGCAAAGGTTTGCAAAAATTTTATCTTTCCATCAAGTCTTCAGTCAGTTCTGTAACCTCCGAGATAATCCTCCGAAAAGCCTTTGGGTCTGATTTTAGGAGACTTTGAGTCTCTTATGCCTATTAAAATAAATGAGGACAAACATTTTTGAAGACAGCAGGCCTGTATTTTTGACTGATATAAATCACTTTGCTCTTTTGAGATCAGTGTTCCTCTTGTTTACGCTAGCAGAAATTTAACAGACATATCACTGACTTGATTATTTCATTCCAGACACAAAGCATTTTTCCAGAGTACTTGAACTTAGAAATGCATATTTACTACAGAGACAAGAAGGGCCAAAAATAGGAAATTAACACTTAAAAAGGCCATTTAACAGGCGAGCAGGAGATCTTAGAGTGGTAAAAGCCAACTAATTTAGATAGTCTGCTGAGAAATAATACTCTGCTGAGAGGAAGGGGATAAGAGTTTGCGCAACGTACTTTATGTCATACAGTCTGCATGCATGATCCAGCCGTAGGACTCGAGTGAAGGAATTTTAATGAATGTGATCATTTTCTAATCAGAACTGTTGCCTATCATTAAAAATTTGTGGCCAGACAAGTTCCAGCTGAAGCTGGGCTTTGCGCTGAAGCTGCTGGGGACTGGGCGTGTGTTCGCTTCTGCTGACTCTGCTCTGGGAAATTAATTTTTGGCAAGGGGGGCGGACAGCTGGCTCTGCTAACATCTGAACTTCTGCAGCACCCACTGCCAGAGCTGGTGTGTCAGACTTTTTTTTTTTTTCCTAAAGTATGGAGAGAAACATCAATCATAACACTGTATCAAACAGACAAGGGTATTTTTTGGCAAACAGACCTTCTTTAAGCCACAGTGGGGGGTTTTGACACTGAAATGAGGGTGTACAAATGAGTAGGCAAAATAAGAACGCCCATCATTTCTAGCTGTAACGTGCAAAGGCTGTCAGCACATCAGCACAGGCCGGAGCCATGCAGAAGCATAGGAAGCTTGCAAAGGCATTTTCAACCCATGAAAAATGCCGCATGGGAGAGTTAATACTCTATCAGTTGCCATCTACTGCTTGGGAAAAGCCTAGTTCATTGTAATGGTGCATTGTGTGAAATGGCTGGTTGACGCTATAACGAACCTTCAAAAATGAACTAATTTGTATTGGTTATAAAATAAGAGGAAAGGATGCAGCGAGCCAAAAGTCTGTCCTGAGAGAGCTCAGACTACCACTGTTATCACCTCGTGGCACATATAATGCTGATGAACAAGCTCATGCTCCAGGGCTGAGCAGAGGCAATTCATCACAGCACAGAGAGATCTGCAAGCAGCAGGGACTGCAGCGAGGAGACACTCCCTTGGAATCTTACAGAGCAACCTGATGTCAAAGTAATTTCATGTCCAAAGCTCACATCTAAATAGATGTGTAACTATGTCTGTATCCCAGCATCACTACAGACAGCAATAAAGGGAGTAACAGGAAAAAAATACAGAGGCACACCAGGTTCAAAGTGCATGCACAAATTACAGATCTTCTCTAAAATCTGAAGACCTGCTAAAACCAAAATATTTCCTTGGGTTATATCATGAATCTAGAAACCGTGTGTGGGTGGGGTGTTTGTTCATATTGTGCGGTAGTGGATATTTCACTGAAACTGAGCTGTGAGTGCAAGCACAGCCACAAACAGCTATTAGATACCCTCCTCTCCTTTGGTACCTGATTAGCAGAGTTCATAAGGGTTCAGAGCAGTGAGTATCCAAGTGTTATGGGAACAAACCTGGAACAAATGAAAGGAAAGTGACATTATCTCTTTATCCCAAGGCAGACTATCACCAGTTCAAGCATGGAATTGCCAATGCAATGTAATAACATTTTGTGTAATGGAAGACAATGAATGAATGATCTTTTGAAACCCAAAACAGGAAAAATGCTTCTCAGACCATTAGCTGCTGCCAAAAAGTGGTGGCTTAGCAAGAAGCTAGCAAGGTGACTTAGCAAGAAGCTAATCCAAGCCAGGTAGTCACATCTTGAGCCAACAGAGAAAGATGTCTCTGGAGGGCACTTTCTCCCCTGCTAAGCTGAATTTCAGGGGCTGTGGTTCACCTGATAGAGGTGCCTGACTGATCCTAAAGCATATCTCAGAGCTGGTGTCTTGTATTCAGACAAGCAAAACTGATTAGGATTAATCCTGCCCCTAGAGACCTCTTGTGACAAGCCCGGTGTGAGTGCCATGCTCATTACCGTTCAGAAACCGAGTAACAACAGAGATTAGTTACCTTTTGTGGAAGATGTCTGCCTCCTTCAGCACATGTTTAAATCAGTACTCATTGTGAGAAGCTAAGCTTTTCATGCAGCCAGAGAAGGGCTTCTGCTGACAGCTAACTCCTCTTGAGATGTTACATCTCAAGCAGCAAAATCTTTTTAAGAATTAAATTGGGGAAAGAGCGAGGTGCACACACGTGTGCTGCAAGAAGGGTGGAAAAGAAGACAAAATACGTAAGTGAAATGCCTTCAGAGCACTGAACATGCTGTACCCTCTGGTACAAGAGGCTTCAGACTAGCAGCTGTAACTGGCGCACACAGGTACCCTCCAGCCGCCCACCTCGCCCACACGCAGCCAGCCACACACACACACACACATATTGCCTTCCCCTTCCCACTCAGATTTTTCTAAAACCTGGAAGCTCAGCGGCATTTCGGGGCCCCGCGTGAGTCACCGCCGAGCCTGAGTTTCTGACTCACTGCTGAGCAATAGCTGAGGAATTAGGAGCTGCGGGGGTATGTGCTGTATGCACTGTGTTAAACACGTCTGGTATTCCTGGGAACCCTCCGAGCCACCCCTCTTTTCCTATTTATTTATTTATTTATTTATTCATATTTATTTATTTGCTTTTCAGCAGGGTTCATAGACGGGGTGCTCCTACTTTCTGCATTATTTTGTTACCCTGGGGTGAAAAAGCAGACAAATGGCACAGGAAAATAGATTTTGTTCATTGTGGGAAAGTGAGTGTGTGTACAGGAGAAAAAAATGCGTTCCACATTCCCTCCACATGACGAATTTAAGATTCATGTGGAGATAAACCAAAAATACCCATGAAAGGGCTTTGGGTTTTTTTTGTGTGTGTGTGTTTCATTTCCACAGGAGATTCCCAGAGTTGTTTGTTTGAAATAAACAACATAAAAGGAGACCCTCTGCCCACTCTCTGATGTGGAGTAATTAATGGCTGGATCAGCATTTCCATTCTTAATTCAGCTTTTCATATGGTTTGTTTTAAAAATTTGCTCCAGACATGAACCTAGCATGTAGTAATACTTTGCATTAGGGAAGTCTTTCATCTGAGCAACTAAAAGTGTGTTGAAAGTATTAACCAATTAAGATTCCCAACATCACTGGAGATGCAGGCATTTTTTCAAAGAGAAACTGAGGCATTCAGGGTCAAACACCGTGGTGACACTTTGCCTAGCAATATGACAGAGGGAACAGCAGAAACTCAGATTTTGTTCATTAGTTCTGTTAATCATTTGAATCCATCACTGTTTCCAAGTCCTAATTAAAGATGGCTTTCTTATTTTTCACTCTGAACAAATATGAAGCAATTACATAACTAAAAATTAATGTAGCTAGATACAGCTTAATGATATGAGATAATCATTAACAGATAATAATAAAACAGATCTCGTGGTTTGTAGAATCATCCGGAAGGATTGTAACAGACCTCATTAACAAAACAGTGGGAGCCAGCCACTGCTGATTTGCAGCCATCTGATGGGTGTCGAGCATCAAATATTAACAGCACAGTACAGCTGCACTGCAGCAGAGTTTAAAGCAGATAATGCAGATGGGAAGAGGGACTGTAAATTGTCATTACCTGTGACAGAATTGGCCCTTAGTCCTGGGACTATTGAAGGTCTGGATGAGGTTTAGTCGGGGTAATGTGGGCAACTAAATTACACCATAGATTTCCAAAACCTCGTACAATTCTTCCCCATTCTAGGTTGGGTTTCCTGTAGCAGGAGCTATCTGCTGGTGGAGATCTCTGGTCAAAAAACCTGACTAAGTTTAGGCACCCAGTTTAGGTGGAAAGGATCTTCCTCTGGAGTTTCCCAAAGACACTTACCTCTTTCTGTTGACCATGCGGAACACATGGATTCTGACCTTTTAAAGACTGTTTCAGAGGTGAATAAAATTCAGAGTACAGCTAGATGTTTCCTTTAGACAGAGTGGGTACATGTCTCCTTCTGATGCTCTACAAAATCTGCAGTTGAGTCTTCAATACTCAGGTGCCACCCTCAATCCCCAGCATCATTTCAGTATTTGCTACAACATTTAGGGCTGACTTGAGGCTGTCTTACTCCATTTGCTGGAGCTGGCCTCTTCCATGAGAATATGTAAGGTCATGACACAATACGACACAATATTCACAACACAGAAGAAAGTCTTATATTTACGGGACAAAGAATTGAGTACAAAATGCTCAATAATTTTATTTCTTGCTCATCCTGCTTCTGCTCAGGCAGAACAGCTGCTAAAATGCTCTGTGCTGTGGCAGGGAAGATTTCTCAACCCAACTTTGCATGATGGGACTCTGGGACTAAGCCTGTGGGTGCTCTGTGCATTATGGGAATGATCTAAAAAGGATCAAATCAGAAATGATCACTCTCCCCTTCTAACCTTGCCATCTGATTTATGGAAAATTGCAGAAGGTGGTTGTAACAAGCAATCAGAAGGAACTGAAAAAGGAAAATTGAAGTTATAGGAAACCACAGGATTACATAGCCCTAACAAATGCACAAGCAAGGTTTCAAGTCACGTAATTACAAAGAATAAATGACATAAGTGAAAAATCAATGAAAGAGGGATGAGGTGCCTCTCCTGCCCAGCTGCAGTTGGCATTTCTCTGTACACATCATGGAGCAAGTTGGCAAAAAAGGTAGCAGCAGGTGTTCAAAAAGCTAACAGACACGGTGTAGGAGCAGAAGCTGGGCTGGTAAGGTCCTAATCATCTCCCAAGTCCTGGAATTCATGAAATCAGACCAATCTGGATCAGTGCTCTGATATTCTTGTCTAAATATCAAGATTTGTGACTTCCAATTTGCCACTGATACTTGGGTAGACAAATGGTCTGAAGAGACAATGGTGTTGTCAGTGTCACATCGGAGGTGCGAGCAGTGCCAGGTGCACTCTCTGTGCTTTACCTCAAGGAGCTGATCCATCTTGAAGGCCTGCTGAGCTGACTGGTCCTGGTGAGAAGCATCAGGCTGTGGCATGTAAATATTTCATGCTGTCAGAAACCATTCTGGGACAAGGCAATCCAACACTTTAGGTGAGAAGCATAAGTCCTGGAAGGAAGAACAAAGATAGGCTCTGTTTGTGGTACTGCAGAGAGACAGGTTGGGGAGTAAGACCTCATTAGTCCTGTCGGTTTCTCTTTCTGCACATTTACTCCATCAGTTAATAGAAACATGAGGGTTATGTCTTCATAAGTCCTGTTCATCTCCATTTCTTTTTCTGCACAAATTTTCTCCAGCAATTTCAACAATCAATCACGTTTCAGTAAGTCAAGGACCATCCCATACACAACCACGTCTGCTCCTCTCATGGTCTGATCTCCAGCGCAGGGATTAACCACCAGTGTTTTCCAGTTATGACATAACTGGGACCAAAGAGCATTGGTATTTCAATTCAGCTTCCCTTCAACCAAATTAATTTAAACTTCTTATTGCATTCTGTTGAAATTCCCCAAAAGACTGCAATGCCAAACTTTGCATACAGGACAGCAGACCTTTATCAGGAGAACTTGTACTTCAGCTGTTACCCTGGAAAAGCAAGGGGCAGGAATATACTTGATTGCTGATGATTACAGGGTGCACAACATGCTGGAAATATTGCAGAGTCATGCATTACTCAGTGGCTTCGAGGGAAGTGACAGCCCAGCTGTAAAGTACATTGATCACCAAGGCAGCTGCCCAAAAACAGCAGTGAAATAATAAATGTATATTGGACTTGGCCCTTTTTCATAGTATCTCTTTCCAGAATTTGTAACTGAACAACTTGAAGCATGAAATGATCCTTTTTGTGTTATCAGTGTATTCCCACCAAGGAGCTCTCTGTAACCCAGTCTTTACCCTGGAAATTCTTGCTGCAGTCTCCTCCGATTCCCATGTTTCTGTATGGTATCTCCACCATAACTACACAGTGGCTTTGTTAGGATTACATGGAAAGTCTGCATCAAAACAGAGGAGTTTCCTCTGCACAGCCTAGTACCCTAAATATGTTTAGATTTTTTATAGGGTCTTGGATGTAATCATCTTTTCTGTTGCAACACTGAGTGTAATAGAGCTTCTGACTGCAAGTGCAGTACATACAGACAGAAATAATCCTCGCGGCACTGTGCAAGAAGCAGGAGATGCTGCAAACAGCGAGAGGAGGTGGCGCTAAGCCAACATTTGGCACAGACAGCAAGAGCAGCACTGTAGCCTGAGGTAGCTCCCAAGGTGCGTATGGGGTGTAGACTTTGGTTTATGTAAGAGCATGCAAGGTTGCATCTTTTTTTTCACTGGTTTCTGTTCTGTCTGGATTCACCCAGGGCCGCTGCTGGTGGTATAAACACCCTTTTAATAGGTTGCTTGGGGCATGGCCCACTGTGATCAAGGGCAGCACATTCAGTCCCTGTCATTAAATAGGGCTCCCTTTAATCCCTGGAGGTGGATGACGTTCTGCATTTTACAATGTGGCAAATGTATCTGGCAGTGTTCAGATATGGGTTATGAGAAAGGCACATATGCAAACACATAAAACTGTTCCAAGCAAGGTCAGAACAATTCACAATACATACTTTGGCTCAGCTTTCTGATCATCCTCAAAACCTATGTACAGAGAATTGCAGACGAGGCTAATAAAAACGTAATGAGTCCTGACCAGCGAGAATAGTTTATTATGATTTGCTTTAACAGTCCTCTCACTGTTCTTCCCTCATGCCAGTAAATATCTGCCGTTGCCTGCAGATGAACCTTTTTCAGACTGCCATGAATCATGCTGCAGGAGAGGCACCACATGGGGGGTGTGTTTGGGTAAGCACTCCGTGGGCTGGAAGGACCAAAGCCAGATTTGGCATTTTATGTCCACACCCGGGGCAGTTGCCTCAATGTCATTCTCTGTATAAAAAGCTGGTTTCAAAACACAGCCTGGTTTATAATGGACTATTCCTTTTTAAGGCCAATGCCAGAAAATTAGATGCCTTTGGATTGTTTTACCTGTTATTGGAAGTTATTTCATTTGGATGCTAAAAGTCCTTCTTGAACAATTAGGATTTATACTGGGGAGCACAGCAACAGGATACGGTCTCCCCAGCAGCCAGCTGGGAGCTCTGCTGGGTGTGAACCCATAACACTCCAGCTCTCTCAGGGCAGCAGCCCTAAGCACTCTTCATCCCCTGATGCTGGGGAAGGAGCTCACTGCAGTCGGGTCGTGCTTCCCACGAAGGCTGAGTGGGCACCGTTGCTGTTCCCAGGGCTGATGCTCTGTGAACCAGCGTCCCAAACAACCACCAGGAACTTGTTCATGGGCTGAAGCCCCAGACGTTCACATCAGAGGATAACAGGGGCCCTTTGGCACTGGAGGAAGAATGCTTTCAACAGGCAAAGGATTTGGGATGTTAACAGTGGGTGGGAGCGACAGCCTTAGCAGTGAGTGGGTGTTCAGAAGAGCTTTGAAGGAAGGGGAGGGAGAATTCTTGGAGTGCAGAAAGCCTGAAGTGCTAATATGGCTTTCTTTTTTTTCCCTCCAAATAACCAAGCTGTGACCACAGGATCTGCCCAGCCCAAGTCCCTGAGACACTGGAGGGAGATGATGAATGATTAGAAACAGCTGAAATATTGCTTCAAATCCCCATTAATTAATCCTGTAGCAATTCCGCTGTCTTCCTTGCTTCCGTTAGCAGGAAACTTTCCTTCCACTGTCTGAATGTTGAAGACATTTCTTTTTTCTTATTATTACACGTCAAAAACTTGTTTTGAGATGGATTTCTCAGATTGCCCTGAATGACGCGGCACCTACTGAATAACCTGCAAATGTGAAGAGCAGCCACGAAGCATTAAACAAATCACTCCACCTATAGGAAGCAGCTTGTAGTGCATAAGCATCCCCTTGGGAACGGCCACGTCTGGTTCCCTGTGCCAGGCATGGCACCAGACTGGGCATCGTGCTCAGGTGCTGGGGCTGAGCTGGGACCCCAGCAGGACGGTGGCACGGGCTGTCCCCACGGCCAGCTTTAGTGAGTCTTCCACGGCTGGAGCTGAGAAGCAGCCTTTGAAGAGGTGCCAGCAAGATTTTTCCTAATCCTAATGTTTGGGCTAGTCTTCAGCAGTGAAGGTGTGGGTACCTACGTGCTGCGCAGGTAGGGCACTGCCTAGGACACCTAGCAGGACACGTGCTGAAAACCCCCAACAATTCAATCAGGAGGCAGGAACACACATGAAATAGGTGTTAATCGTGCTCTCGGTCTGCACACCACTGACTCATTCCTTCCATTTTGACAGGCAACATCTGGAAAAACAGTGCTGGATGGTGGCTGCGCATTGCCCACAACCCTGGCAGAGGCACAGCAAGGTAGATCACACTTCTTTTTGTTGACGTATAAAGGCCGACAGTGGGAAACAACCACGGTGCAAGAAGGTGTTTTTGGTTGCTGCACAGTGCTGTTTGAGAAGCAGCTATGTCCTGGCCTGTCCTCCCCACCCTTTCGTCTGGTTTACGTAGGCACTGGGGCAGATCCTCATCTCATCTATCTGGAGGCAGAAGCATGGGGTGGGTGAAGGTCACCAGGCTTTGCATCTGTGAGCTCGGCTTGTGCTGGACTCGCTTTCCTCCTGAGTGTGTTAAATAAATATCTGTCATCTGGGAGAGCCAGAGGATTTCTTTGACACAAAAGTCACAAGGGAGTAATTCCTTAAATCACAGCCATATCCTCTTAATGGAGCACTGAGCAAAGAGGGGAGGAGTGCGGGGAGGGTTGAGAAGTGCTCTGGATCAGGCTCAACACCTGAAGGATGTGCCAGCAGGAGGAGGTCCCAATTATCTTGAAAGAGCTCATGTGAACCTCAGCTGCCAAAAAGTCTTGTGCTGATCTGTTTTGAGGATAACCTGCCTCAAATGCATGAGCCTAAGACTGGCACTTAGGCTTCAAAAAATATGCAAGTGGCGGCAAGGCCCTCCAGGAGCTTAGGGGTATAGAGTGAGAGGGGCAGTACGTGGAAGAAGGGAGGATGCCGTGCCTTCCACGGTTCCCCCATGGTTGTGTAGGAAGCTGGGGTGGAGTTGGACCGTGCTCATCTGTTTCTGGAGCCCTGGTACCTCTCTAACCCCCAGTCAGCCTTTTGTGGTGATGGCAGGTGCTACGCTTTTCTTATTTACTGGGCAAGGCCTGAATTACACACATCTATACGTGCCTTGGTACACTACACTGCTATTTCTTCAAGTAATGAAACAGAGAAGAGCACAGGCACATCTCATACAAATCCACAGGGTTATGAACACTTATAAGCAAACAAAGCTAACCTCAAAACCTGACCACATTCAGTCCCAGCTCCCCCTGGAGCGTGCTGCAGTGTGTTTGCTCTTACCCATAGGGAAGGGATGGGAGAACAAATACCAAGTGCCAGACGTTGTATACATTGTGTAATGTATTACTGGAAAATAGTATAGGGATTAATTAACAGATTAGTAGTGAAAAATACAAAATAAATAATAATGTAATATATGAATGCAAAGCAGAACAAACAACTCTCAGGCAAGAAGGACTGCTAGGCTGGGAATTTGTTACCCAAAAGGACCAGAGGAAACTCCATCCCCTGGTTCAGTTTCAACCAGACTGGACCACTACCACACACCCACAGGGAATGCTCCTCGGAGACCGATGAATCATATATTCTGGATCACTTTCCTGTTCTTGGATAATTATCAGATGATAGAAGTCTTTTATAATGCATTCAATTCACATACAAATTCACTTTTTTTTTTTTAATGTATTTTATTTAGTAAGATAACTTGTCAGAAGCAAACTTCCTTACTTATTTCCTTGAAGATTTTACTCATGCTCTAAAAGAAAGAATTAAGAATGGATCTTTCTTATCTTACTGAAGGAAAAAAATCTCCACTCTAATAACACTTACTCCACTGCTTTCAAACACTGGAATTCATTGTCAAATAGGCCTGCAGTGAATAACTACTCATGTTTGTCCGGGCCATCAAACCTAGCTCTGAGCTCCACACTCTAGCAGCTATCTAGCAGCTATCTAGCAGCTATAAGTGCTGGGGCTGCCCTCTCTCTCTGGGGCAGGGCTCTGAGCTACATCTTCCTTCATGGGGTGCAGTGTTACCTACAGCTCGAGGACATCATCTGCTCGAAGTGGTGAACTTCTGGGAGACTTCAGGGTAAAGGAACCAGCAGGTGCTGAGACTGCATTTGGACCGCCGGCTCCCTGGGTTAGGTTGCCACTCATAATGAGCAAGGTCCTCTGCATGGTTTAAATCCTGAGATGGGATTTACACAAAGAGCCTCGTGCTGTATCTTTTGGCAGCACCATTGAAATCCATCGGTTGTTGTCCTTGCCTCTAGTTTTCTTCATGCCTTGCTCCTTCCTACTGTTTCCTGGCTCCCATGCAACTATCTGAATATGCCGTGAAACTAAAAGCACACTGAGCCTGAGCCCATTTCCTAGAGAGATGCCTGTGAGATCCCTGGAGAAAGGGTACAGCAGCAAGAGGAAGGTGACAGATGGCAGAAGGAAGGCATGGAGAGGGAAGAGGGAAGGAGAAAGGCACAGGAGGTGATTTTCTATACCTTGCCCTTATGAATCCAACAGAAACATCTGAAAGGCCATAGGGCCTGGAAAGAGTTGATACAAAGAAGCAGTGGAAGTGAGTGCACAAGGGCCAATCAGTTGAGATACACCAAGTAGCTTCATCCTGACACTAGGGAAAAAGCAGGGAAATGTAAAAATAAATTAAGATAATGGTATCTCTAAGGCCTCTTTCATGTGGGCATCCTTGCAGAGAGGCCAAAGGATGTGGTTTCAGGGTGTAGAAGGGAACTGAGGCTTTGAGGGTTCTGGGGGAACAAGAGGGCTGCCACTTCAGGCATCCTACTGAGAGGGCCAGGGTATGACAATTTCACCTGCAAGACAAGATGTGTTAGCTGGCCCTGACACGTGGGTGGATCCCTTACAAGGCTCTATGAAGGGAGTTTCAGCAAATACACGTTGCTAATCTATATGGATGGTCTTAAAACAACCCCAGGATAATTACTGCATCTTGTCTGACACATGGCAAAGTCACGGTAGTCATTTTCCTTTTATTCATGTAGCCTTGTAAACCATTATGGTTTTGTTTTTGGACAGTCTATGGCCAGTTATTTCCCTATATATCACATGGGCTGACTGCTTTCCTTGTAACACACCCCAAGCCAATTCCCAGAGCCATATTTCCTCCCTTCTTCTTTGGAACATGTATTAATAAGAAATATGAATATTATGAAATTGCCTCAGGAACAAGTGGGAAGACTGAGATGCATACCCACAGCTGCACTTTTTTTTTGGTGTGTGCAATCCAAGCCCAGATCACAAGGTATCCCTTGTGCATTATAGAACACACAAATGAGTCATAAATCCCTAAGCAGGGGTGGAGTTAAGGATTGTTAATCCAGCTTGTCCAGGACCATGTCCAGGTGATTTCTGAAGATCTCTGAGGAGAGTCCACAGCCTCTCTGGGCAGCTTGTGCTTTTGCTCCATCACCTGCGTCGTACAGAGCTGATTCTTGGTGTTCAGAACCTCCTGCATTCCAGTTTGTGCCCACTGCCCCATATTCACTGTGTTAGTGAGGGATCAGGTGAACTGGGGGGACCCTACAGAGCCAGAAAGCCCCAGGTGGGTTGGACCGGATGACCTCCAGGGATCCCTTCCAATTTCACCCATTCCTGGATTCTGTGAAAGTCCTTGTCTTTGTATAACCTATGTCTGAAAGGTTCTCCAAAATGTACCCCTTTACCTCTTAGCTAGTGAAGGAGATATTGACTATGAGCACAAGTTTCAAGCCCTTGTCATCACTCTCTTGGAAAAAAAACAAACTGCCTTCTATCTCATACAACAATTTCCTGCCATATTCCCCCACTGCTCTTGCACTGGAGAATCACAGAGCCTATTTTTGACACCAGCTGTCCAGAGGTCACACATTTTTTACAAAACCATTTCAACACAGAGTCTTTTCCTAAGAAAAAACAGCTCAGTGCCACTGAGCCTTTTAAGATATGATTGCTCAGATTATGATGAAGAAGTAATTTTTTAAAATAATTATCGCATTGTCCCTGAATTTAGGGAGGTACCAAAGGTGCAGGATACCCAGTTGCCCAGTACTTACTCTTCTTATGGCTGAACCACCAAGCCTTGTGTTTACACAGCATCATCTGGTATGAAAAAGACTCTGTCATTCTGTTTTCCAGAAGTTTGATCCTTACCCATGCAAAGAACTCTTCTGATTGGGCTGTCAGATACAAGAGAAAATGTGGCCAAGTGTAAGAGAAGATATGTGAACTTTACACACACACACAATGTGTAATACGTACCTGTAAAGTGTGCATTTGAGGCATATCTCTGCTTAAATAGTGTTTCTGTGTGCTCTGAATAGGGTACCCTGGAATGAACTTTCCCTCAGAGCAAAACTGTAGTTGTTTTTTTTTGTACTCATAAGTTTTTTGTTACTGTTTTTGTTTTTCCCCTAAAATATTTTAATGGTTTAAGTCCCATAAGCCCAAGAGCTCAGATGCATTTTTTCAGTTGTTTGTCATAAGGACTACCCGACATTAAAAAAAATTACCATCCTTTCAATCAGAATGAGCTTGCACAATGCTTAATATTAAAGTGAAGTAGATTCTTTTGTTCATTATAGTGAAATAAATCTTCATAAAAGTGTCATTTGTGCAGTTTTAACAGCAGCAGTGATAAATTAAGATTTTTGCCATATGAAATGCTTTCACTGGTCTCTAGTAGGTTAAGCCTAGTTCCTATCAAAGACAGCAATAATCTCTCAGTTGATTTCAGCAGTTCTTAGTTTTTACACAGATGCAGCTTTTGACCTGCTGGAGTCCTGAATTAGTTCCATCCTACCAGTATCTCTTTTACCTACCATACATTAACCAAGCTCTCCTGCAAGGTAAGTTAATAAAAGACATTTTTCCTAAGATCATAATAGGTTAATAAAACTAAGCAATAATTTTTCGAGAGGGCCACATGACTCTGCACACCTGACTTGTTGCTAGATTGTCAAGGCATGGAACTACATGCCCAGCTTCCTATTTCTTCTCCTGGGAGCATCCAACTACTTTGATAAGGCCTGGATGTGTACACAACAGAGGAATCCAACAGAATCATGTGTATGTATGAAAATATATACACGTATTTAAGTCCAAACCAGAATTGCACTGATTTCAGGAGGCAAAATTTGATGTAACATTACTGGACACAGAAATTGGATTCATCTCATATGGCCCTTTCTTCCAAACATACCTATCTCCTTGTGGAGAGTGCTTGCAGAGGGATCTGCCAGACTCTTTCAGGTCAGACGTGACTAACAGAACATCCATCTCTCCTCTCTCTGTAAGACAGTGTCATCAGTTATCTAATTCTTTTTCAGAGTGCTTATCTTTCATTCTTTGTTAATGATTTTCCCATAAGCAACACTGTTTGTTTCTGGAATTACTCGAGTGATACCCACTTAATTGTCTTTTGTCTGTTTCACCTTGGGATGAACTCAGATAGGAATAGTGCTTTACCTAAAAGGAAAAGTACTTTTGGTCTTCAGTTAAAGATTTACTTATTCCTTTTTTGGCTTGCCTTGGTGACTTATTCCCATGCCCTTTGAGACATCACTATCAATTCCCACTGACTTTATAGACACTTCTCTGCTCATGCAGGGTTACTCAATATTGTTTGGACTCGTTTTCTACTGCTTGACTGCAAAATATTCTCGTATTTATGTTACAAAGGCCAAGAGAGACTTTGCAAACAACTTCCTTCTGTTCTTAGAAAAGTACTTGCACAAGTGGCTAGGATTTAGACATTTCAAACTAGGTTCAGATTGGGCTCTAATTCCAGGACAATATTAACCTATAACTCAGGGTGATTAAGAAATTACAGAATGAAGGAGCTGGGCCTCCCTTACATCACCAACGCATATGTACTGAGTATCAGTAAAAGGAAGACCAGTACTGAGGCACCTTGAAACCACTTGGTTTTTCATAAGAGTCAAAAACAGAGAAGAAAGAGAAAATAGGATAGCATCACAGGCCCCAAATTTGAGTGAATTGAGATCAGATTCAAGGTAGTATGTAGATGTGGCTGACCAATGAGCAGCCTACATCCCCTTATCTCTGTAGCACCACAGTAGTTATCTAGACTGCCCATTTACTGAGCAGGGAGCATTTGGAGTCTGTGAAAAGGTAGTTTGCTGAATGGGGAATTTCACAGCACCGTAGTTAGGGGAATCCCTTGGAACCCACAATGTCTGTACTCAAAGATCTTCTCACACCGGGGACTTGTTCTCCAGCTGCTGTTACCTTTGGTGACTGCTGCAGGCATCATTTTATCTGTTCTTATGAAACTGGTCTTTATTCCACACTCTTAGTTGCTACACTGTATTAAATAAACAAAGATTTTCGGGTCAGACAGAAGTGTCCACTCTGATATATGATGAATAAGTTGTACAGAGTGGAGTGGTTACAAAATGTTGGAATGCCTGAAAGCAGACCCTGGTGAGGATATCTCTCACCTGGTACATGGATGAATTCAGACAGAGGAAGAGATTGAACAGGGGTTTCCCTCCTGCCCCAGGTGAGTTCTGCTGAGGTGTTAGATAGTGGGGGAACGTGTGAAACAGGGGCACTTCCCAGATGTCCCAGATGTGGCCCTCTTGAAAAAAACCCTGGCTGGTTTTTGTACCAGACCAGGTGGGTTGATATGGTCTGGGCACTGAATAGAAATGAGAAAAGCCCACCCTGAAGGTCCCACCAGAACTTCAGCTTTAATAAAGACCCCTAGCAATGAGGCAGTGGTAAGATGTAGAGGCTTGCTCCAAGGCTTCCAGTGGAACTCACATATTGAACTTCTGTACCTAAGTAAGGATTTTGATGTTTGAAGTCCACTATGAACCTTGATTTTAATGTCTGTACTCCAGAAAACCATTTTTGTATACTCCTAAAACCACTGTATACTCCTAGCCTGTTGTAGCTGAACAGAGAAGCTTTTCTGTGTTTTCCACTCTTTCCCAACAAGCATCCCCAACTCCATTCAGTTTTAGCTAAAGACTGGATATATGCATGGGCAGCATTTCGGTAGAGGTTGATGGCTCGGTCAGCTTTCTGCCAATTTCCACCTCCCCGAGTGATTTAGCATTGCCAGAACTGTTCATTGCAAATGCCCAGGCTTTCTGAAATGCTAAGTGTATTATTTTCGCTTGTCCTTTGTCTATAACTGACATTTATATGGCAAATATATAATACCAAAAAAAGCAGAAATAATACAGAATTCCTCTAAAATGTTCATGAGCTTTATTCTGTGTCTTAAATATAGCAAGCCCAGCCATGCATGTTTTTATCTCAATATTTGATTTTCCAAACCACAGTGATGTTGCTTTGTCTTTTTGTCTTTTGCTGTAAGTACCCTGACCTCTAGGTATCTGCATGCCCAGCCTATACCCCCAGATTTCTTGGTTCAATGGCCTTCAACAGATGAAATGAGGGAATAAAGAGTGCTGGCAAGAAGCAGAGTTCTCAAGCTGATCCTTTCCAGCATCCAAATTCTTTACACAAATGGCTGACAGGGGCAAAAAGGTATTCTCTGTCTCTGTGAAAACACTTGTGTACTGTCAATCTAAAGACCTACCTAGGGTGGTGGCTGGCCTAGGTAATCCAAACCCTCCCATTTGGTTACTCACACACAAGTGCCTCAGGTTAGGAGATATTTGTGTTTACCTTGAAGATAACAAGCTGTCTTGAACAAGCCTTGAACATGCCCACAGGCATGGAAAGGTATTTGGGAGGGACAGTGCTGAGTCTTCTTTGTGCAAGTTTAATCTTAGGTTGCTGATAAAGTTTGGGAAGCTGTGAGGAAAACCTCACAACCTGTGCTTTGACACGGCACCAAGCCCTCTGTGGAACTGTTCTGTTCTTCCACTGGAGGGGATCGAGCCAGTATCCACATGATTATGGGCTTTTTTTCAAAAGGTACCCAGTGATGTTTTTTACAGATTGTTTAACTGGTCCTTGGAGCTTGTTATTAAAAGGTCCCATTGGCTTCATCTATCATACTAAATGCAGCGGAGCAGTGACTGCTGCCTGGCATGAAGCCAAAGGGCACGTTATGACTCATATCCACATGAGTAAACTCTTTTCACCCCTAAAAACAGGGTGGCCACACCCAGGCTGCCTATTGGGAATGGTCCCAGGAATGTGCTGTTCCCTGTGCTGGGCTCAGGTATTGTCTGCTAGCTGATGCTAATTCGTGTCAAGAGACCATTAAACAATACAGATGGTCACAAGCCAGTGTTAGAGCTAGTGTCATAGCCTTGTTTAACTTACTGGTCTAGACATAGCCATTAATATCAAGAGTTTAGCAAGATTCTTGAAAGGGACAATGTATTTATATAGCTAATAAGAATATCCAGAGGAACAGGAAAAAATACGTCAAAAGGAAAAAAACAAAATTAGAATAGCTTTTTTGGAAGTGATAAAGTGTGAAGTTCCTCTGGGAACATTACACAGAAATGCTCCTTACATGGTTTATGGTATCCTTCCCAGCAACATCTGGTTCTGCAGGCGCTTGGGAAGAGGATGCTGGAGTTGGTGGCCCTCTGCCCACACTGTTACGGCAGTTGTATAAGTGCCATGCAATATTAAAACCTTTAGCAAAAGACATGTAGAGATTGTGAAAATAATTCTAAGAACCTCCAATTTTCTTGACTTGCCCCATGATCTGCACAGGGTAAAGCTTGGAGCTGGAAGCTGACAGCTAGCTTTCGCTCAGAGCTGCATGTTCACAGGACACAGATGTTGAATGAAGCTGTGCTGCTTCATACCTGGGCTGGCACAATGACACGGTGCTGCACTGCACACTGAAGACATACTGCCTCATCCAGACCTGTTGTAGGGGTGATTGCCGCATGCTGCAATATGCTGTGTGCATCTCCCCAGCTGCCCACATGGCATTGACTTATGTGACACCCCCCATCTGCCTTGGGTGATGAGATTGAAGCTCTGTCATCTAAGTTCCCAGATAAAGCTGTTTTCATTCGATTAATTTATTAATTCATTTGCTTCTGATACAACACCTGAAAGCTTTGGTTCTCATCTGCACAGCCCAAAGAGGCCCAGGACCGTTTTAAACAAGCAATTCCCTCCTTCTGTGTGCCACATGGATATTGAAATAACACTGAAGAATCACAGCAACATGGAGTAATTTAGGTGGGAAGGGTCCTCTGGAGATCACCTTGTCCTATCTGCTGCTCAGAGACAGGCTGACCGGACCAGGTTGCTCAAGAACATGCCTGGTTGGGTTTTGAGTATCTCCAAGGACAAATTCCACCTCCTCTGTGGGCAAAGTGCTGCATTGCTTCATTACCTTCACAGAGCAAAAGGCTTTGCCAGTATCTATCTGGAATTTCTGCATGGCAATTTTCATGCTCAGATGCCAAAAAAAGCTATTAGGACCACTGGGAATCCACTGCCCTCCTTGATCTGAGCTACCTCAAATGGGCAGTAAAGCTGTGCTTTTGCATATCCCTTTGGGAAGGGCTGGTGTGGCTGGGACAGAGTCCTTGGGGGAAGCTGAGGGACAGGGAAAATGTCGATTTGGTTTGTAATGCAGTTTTACTGCCTGACATTTTTATACTTCTGGGAAGTATACAGCTAAGTTCTCTGTCATGGGTTTTGAGCTGAATTCTTTAACTGATCTCCAGCTTAAGCATTTTTTCTCTGTTTTCTTATTTAAATACAAATAAACAAAGACATTTTGTCTCGCATGCACACATACCATGGCTTGTCTCCTGGGTCCCTTCTCTTACCTCCAGGAACTCCTGCAACTCAGGATCATGTTCCAAACATGCCTGTGGTGTGATGGGTTGGGGCCTTTTAGCAGCTTCCACTTGAGTTTTCTTTTGTGAAAGTCCATGAAAAGCAGCAGCTGAAGAAGAAGGGGTCGAAGCAGCTGTGTAGCAATGGCAGCATGGGCAGGCTGCGCCAGCCAAGGCACTGATTCTTCACAGCAGCCAACCCACGATTCCCCTGGCTGGAAATGGCAATGGATTACAGGAAGTTTGGAGTAGTCACAAACATCTGCACCCCCTTTCCGGAGGGCAGAGTCTGGAGCACAAATGTGGCCATTATATGAAAAAAAATACAGGGATGCCTAAGTGAAGAATCAATCTTAGAAAACAATCTGCACAGGAAGCCTTGTTCCTGCATGGAGCTCCAGTGATGCCTGCCGCAGGATCCCAGGGGATCGTGTGCGTGGGTCTGTCTGCATGGTGAGCCCCAGCTCACCGCTGTATGGACACAACACAACGCCTTTTAGTCTGGGAATGAAGACCCAAATTGCAAAATCTCTATGGGAGACCCTGAGCCAAAATGACTCATGTCACAACATTGCCTTCAGATGAGTGGCACTACCTTTGCTGGGTGGTAATTAGTCTGTGGATATTTTATTTGCATTGTCCATTTACGCCGAGGAAATATTTCCCATATGCCCCTTGCATCACAAAAGCAGGTTTCATGTACAAAGCAGAAAGGGAAGCCACATCTCCAGTCTCCAAATTCTCATCAAAAAAGGGCTGTGGAAATACAGAATCAGGCCCAGGCAAAATCCAAACGCGGTTTGTTCGTGTTCTTTCTTGTGAGTGATATTCAAGCCGTTACTGAGGCTTAGCACAAAGCCTAGCCAACACTTAAGCCCCTCGGCAGGATGTTTAAGTGGCGTCTAGGCTTTGTGCTGGTCTCATGCACTAGCATGAATTTTTACCAGTAGGTAGAAGGGCTGCTTTGTCCACATTGAAAAGTACACAGCCAGCCTTCCCTGTAGTACGTCTCTTAATTTCTTTTTGATTTAATCCTTTGCACTGAGGGGATGCTGGTTGCCCTAAAGGAATGAAAGCTTCCCCTCTGAAGCATGTGTCTTTTACTATCCGTGCAATCCAAATAGTTATATTCAAATCAAATCAAAGCACTTCAAGAGCCAAATCTAGAGCAGCTTTCTTAATTGGCATATAAAGATTTAGTTCCTTTCCTTAATATTTTAAGACAAGTTAAAAGCAATATTTTAGGTGCTAAGGATTAAGCCCAGTAGGCTTAGACGTGCAAATATTCCCACACCTCCTTCTTCTTAGGGTCTACCTGAGCTCCAACTAATTGTAACCGCAAGTCTTTGAAGATAGCACCTAATCCTTAAAAGCTGCAATAGCTGTATTGGATATGGTTCATCACAGAAATATTAATATATGCAAACAGATGTCCACTCACAATGCTAAATATATCTTCACTTTGGAAAATATATGCAGGTTTCCATTTGCTTCTGTTCAGCTGCTACTAGCTGTTGCTCTTTGGATGTCAGGACACCGCATACTGGCCTTGTTGCCTTTGCACGGTGTGTTTCTAGTGACAGTCAAGAATTTGGGCTGTAAAATGGCTGTCATGTAAAAAGAGGAGCTGGAAAGCTCTGAAAAACAGTCAGCTGGACTATAAAAGCAAAGCTTTGTTTCAGTGGCTTGATAAATATTCCAGGAACTACTCTTCTCTCTGTGGCATTAGGGGGGCAGTCCTCCCCCATTTTCCCTGTCTCCTTGTGGAGGTGGACGTGTCTGGTACTCATTAGGGGCTGGTTAAAGCCGTGGGACCTGAAGGGCTCTGATTATAGCTGTGAGCCACTGTGATCTGCTGGTTCAGACACAGTCTTGTGACTCAGACATCCAGGCTTGCGCTGCCACGTCTGTCACACTGACCCATGGTCGGGACAAGGGCATGTGCCCAGGGTACCCATACCTGTATTTTGGTACACATGGCGTACCTCAGAAGAGGGCCTGAGGTCCTGGTGAGCACCAGACTGAACGTGAGCCAGCAATGTGCCCTTGCTGCTAAGTAGGGCGAGGGTATCCTGGGCTGCATGAGGCAAAGCATGGCCAGCAGGCCAAGGGAGGTGATCCTTCCCCTGTGCTCAGCACTGGTGAGGGCCCATCTGCAGTGCTGGGTCCAGTGCTGGGCCCACCAGTACAAGAGAGACCTGGGTATACTGGAGAAGGCCCAGCAGAAGGCCACCAAGGTGATCAAAGGCCTGGAGCATCTCTGCTGTAAGGTTGAGAGAGCTGGGGCTGTTCAGCCTGGAGAAGGGGGGGGCTCAGAGGGATCTCCTGAGTGTCTATAAACACCTGAAGGAACTGTGCAAAGAGGGATGGAGCCAGGCCCTGTTCAGTGGTGCCCAGTGCCAGGACAAGAGGCAATGGGCACAAACTGGAGCACAAGAAGTTCCCTCTGGCCATCAGGAAGCACTTCTGTGCTGTGCAGGCCCAGGCTATGGATCTCCTAAATCTGGACGTGGTGCTGGGCAGCCTGCTGTGGGTGGCCCTGCTTGAGCAGGGGTGGGACCAGATGGACCCAGAGGTGGCTTCCGACCTCAGCTCCATCCCTTCTGTGATTCTATGATTCTGTGCTGACCTGGGAGCATACCTGGGCTGGGATGGCTCCCAGCTGTGGTCCCTACGAGACACCTGGATCTGGGGAGCAGCAGTATTTACTCATCTGGATGGCGGCTGCATTGTGCCATCTGGCCTCAGGGCTGGAGCTTGGCCTCATTTATTAGCTAATAGAGACAAAGCCTAAGATCTGGAAAGATAAAGAGACTTCCAGAGACTGAGTCAGCCCACCCAGGATCTGAATCACTCCTGGAGGTGTCTGTCTGTCTATCTGCACTGGGAAATGAAGGTGTTACTGTCCTTTGTGGCTGCCTCAGCTGCAGGCATGGTCAGGTCAGCTCAGATAGCCAGGGGAAGCCAAGGCATATGGCATTGGACTGGGGGAATGCCATTTCCCTTATACTCCACTGGGTGAGAAATTAATGAAATGATTGTTATCATTTTTAATACTCCTATCCTGTGTCTTCAGTCACTGGAATAAAAACCTTTAATGCTTTGACAGCTACTCTGGATGTATTTGGAACAAGAAATTAATACTTTGCATTCACCCAAGATCACAGAATGCTGTATAAATCGTAATTAATTTCCACAATGTTCTGAAGAGGACTCTTGAGAACTGGTGCCCCCACTTGATGAATGTGTAAACTGAGGCACAGAGAGCTGAGAGGAGTTTTTGTCCTTTTTCCCATGCAGCTAGTTGGAGATGAAGCTGGAAGAGCAACCCCTGGGGCCTGATTCCTCCTCTCCCAAACCTGCCAGCTGAGATAGTGTCTTACTCTATTTTAATGAAGCTCTGTTTGCCATTTCATTTTACAGGCTGTTAGCCCAGAATAATGAAATGTTGGTACCCTGATGGATGACAGGAAGACTTTGCAATCTGTTGAAGTACAATTAATAGCTGGCAAGCTGAAGATCAACACAGTTTGGGCCAGACAGAGTCACTTCAAGGTTTCTGTCCTTGTGTCCCAGTCAGCTGCAGCTCAGCCTGGATTTTGAACCCCCAAGTGCAGAAGCAATCCTGATCCTGAAGCCTGCTTGTGAAAGGTATCCCAGGCCTGCAAGACCATGAGTCTTTTACATCTGGTCAGAATAAAGGCAGAGTGACATGCAATATGGGGCGAGGTTTGATGTGTATTTTGTACTGCACTTTTGCTGTCCTCAAGCTCTTCTCTGAGGTGAGTTTTCTTGCCAGACATTATCAGCTTCAGTGGTTTGGCTCAGAGTTTTCCTCCAGACTCTTTTGTTCTGTTGACTTTTGGATCAACCCTGCACTGGCTCTGTTTTAGAAGTTGCTTTACCCATATTAATGTTTAACTTAAACAAGTATTAAATCATAAGTCTAACATGGAAATGTTTTAGTCTCTGGACAGTTCCTTTCCTTGCTGCTTTTGAGCTGTACATGAGTACAGCTTCACTTGCCAGGATTTCTTCTGCTTGGTTACTGTTATTACTGCTGTTATAATGCAGTAGAAAATAAAAACAAAACAAAACAAATCAAAACCAAACCCGTTATGGTTTTGTAGGCAGTACTGTGGGCTCCTGTGAGTCAGAGTGGCCCAAGGGTAAGAAGGGATGGAAGCCTGAAACTCATTTATTTCGCATTGTATCCATCCTGCCTCCACAGGGAGTGTTTTGGGGTTAGGGAATTAGTGTGGTAGATCCCGAGGTTCTCAGAGGAAGGAAAATGTCTCTTACTGTTGTCATATATGTCTTCTGATTGTGTTCTGGACATTATAAGCCACTACCCATAGGAATGGCAGAGAAAAACAGATATAGGTGTATCAGAACAGTTATCCCAATCAAGAGTAAGTAACTTCCCATGCTCTGTGCAGACTTTCCAGGGAACATGCTCATAGAGTTGCTGCAGTTCCCACTGCACTTGGTTGCCTGTCAGATCTCAAAGAGGGACTTAATACAATCAATATCACGTGTCCTCTTCTGATGCTGCTTTGTTCCATATCCTCTCTGCGACTGCGCCACCTTACACAAAATATTAATGTATATTGGAGGAGGAGGCACTGTTAAAAGGCAAGGTCATAGTGGCTCTCCCTAATCAGTGAGAAGAGAAACATGGGCTTTCTCCTTTTCTCCTGCACCTTAGGCAGTTCTAGAGCCTTGGCAGAACCATAGAAATAGGAGCTAAGGGCTGTCCAAATGGCTACAGACCTGCTTTCATCCCTATTCACTTGGGGAGAAGGCTTTTAGAGAAAGAATGACTTATTTAATCTTCATTTAAAGCACGTTACAAACAACCCGTGATTTCAAGAAAATTAAACGTAACTGGTGATGGTCATCTTCTGCCTGGTAGTTCTAGATCCCATGCTAAAATTTTCTTCCTCATACCACGTATAAAGCCGCTTCAGAAGAAGAGGACTAAGAAGATGGAGCAATTGCTGAGCCTGGCTGACCCGTTCTTTTGCTCATGCAGGTGACAGTGCCATCAGCTCACATTGCTTCAGCTTCCTCTCCTGATGTGTCTCCACTGGGGCTCATTTTAAAGGAAATGTTGTCTTTGCACTCAGCAGAAGATGGGAAAAGCAGCCACGGAGTGAGGAGAGGAGCTCCACAGCACAATTTTGCTTTTTTGTCTCTCTCTGCAGCCCCAGCA